AGACTGATCATTTCTTTGTCAGTGGGAAAACGTGCAAAAGGGCAGCAGGGGATCAAATACTTTTTTCCCTCACTGTATATTTTGATACACTGCCGATTTTGCAGGTTTTCCTACTTACAAAGCATGTAGAGGTCTGTAATTTTTATCATAGGTACACTTCAACTGTGAGAGACGGAATCTAAAACAAAAATCCAGAAAATCACATTGTATGATTTTTAAGTAATTAATTTGCATTTTATTGCATGACATAAGTATTTGATCACCTACCAACCAGTAAGAATTCCGGCTCTCACAGACCTGTTAGTTTTTCTTTAAGAAGCCCTCCTGTTCTCCACTCATTACCTGTATTAACTGCACCTGTTTGAACTCGTTACCTGTATAAAAGACACCTGTCCACACACTCAATCAAACAGACTCCAACCTCTCCACAATGGCCAAGACCAGAGAGCTGTGTAAGGACATCAGGGATAAAATTGTAGACCTGCACAAGGCTGGGATGGGCTGCAGGACAATAGGCAAGCAGCTTGGTGAGAAGGCAACAACTGTTGGCGCAATTATTAGAAAATGGAAGAAGTTCAAGATGACGGTCAATCACCCTCGGTCTGGGGCTCCATGCAAGATCTCACCTCGTGGGGCATCAATGATCATGAGGAAGGTGAGGGATCAGCCCAGAACTACACGGCAGGAACTGGTCAATGACCTGAAGAGAGCTGGGACCACAGTCTCAAAGAAAACCATTAGTAACACACTACGCCGTCATGGATTAAAATCCTGCAGCGTGCGCAAGGTCCCCCTGCTCAAGCCATCGCATGTCCAGGCCCGTCTGAAGTTTGCCAATGACCATCTGGATGATCCAGAGGAGGAATGGGAGAAGGTCATGTGGTCTGATGAGACAAAAATAGAGCTTTTTGGTCTAAACTCCACTCGCCGTGTTTGGAGGAAGAAGAAGGATGAGTACAACCCCAAGAACACCATCCCAACCGTGAATCATGGAGGTGGAAACATCATTCTTTGGGGATAATTTTCTGCAAAGGGGACAGGACGACTGCACCGTATTGAGGGGAGGATGGATGGGGCCATGTATCGCGAGATCTTGGCCAACAATCTCCTTCCCTCAGTAAGAGCATTGAAGATGGGTCGTGGCTGGGTCTTCCAGCATGACAACGACCCGAAACACACAGCCAGGGCAACTAAGGAGTGGCTCCGTAAGAAGCATCTCAAGGTCCTGGAGTGGCCTAGCCAGTCTCCAGACCTGAACCCAATAGAAAATCTTTGGAGGGAGCTGAAAGTCCGTATTGCCCAGCGACAGCCCCGAAACCTGAAGGATCTGGAGAAGGTCTGTATGGAGCAGTGGGCCAAAATCCCTGCTGCAGTGTGTGCAAACCTGGTCAAGACCTACAGGAAACGTATGATCTCTGTAATTGCAAACAAAGGTTTCTGTACCAAATATTAAGTTCTGCTTTTCTGATGTATCAAATACTTATGTCATGCAATAAAATGCAAATGAATTACTTTAAAATCATACAATGTGATTTTCTAGATTTTTGTTTTAGATTCCGTCTCTCACAGTTGAAGTGTACCTATGATAAAAATTACAGACCTCTACATGCTTTGTAAGTAGGAAAACCTGCAAAATCGGCAGTGTATCAAATACTTGTTCTCCCCACTGTATATATAATATTTATTGTATATACTGTGTAATATATACTGTTTGTATATTTTTTTATTTTTTTTATTTTGTATTTTTTTGCTGCCTCTTGGGCCTCCCACGGGCCTGGGCTTCAGCCCCGGTAAGCCCCTGCATTAAGCCGGCCCTGCTTACTGTAATAGATTTCCATTACAATTGACAAAAATAGCTTTTTAGCTAAATACTATTTCTTAAGCAAGCATTTTGCTAGGACTGTCTGGGAGTGGTCTGAGTGGGGAGGGGAAAACTGAAAACTAGCAATTTACCGCATGGTGATGTCACCATGGAAAGCCGCAACTCCCACCCATGCAAATCTGCTGATTAGAAGGTCCTGCGTAGATTGTATTTTCAACCAGGAACTATCAGGAAATAACACTGATTTTTAAAAAAAATCCACTTTTACAGCGTTAGTTTCATAAGGTGTTGTACAATATGATATAAAACACAGGAAAAACAGACTTTTGACAGCACTGGGCCTTTAACTGTGTTAGGATATCTTTAGCACTGGAGCTAAAGGAATTTATTAGCGATTTCTGTTTGAAACTAATTAAAAGTAATCTATTAAGACCTGGCTGTTTTCTGCCCGTGGGTATAGAGGGCACATTGTAGTGTGTGTGTGTGTGTGTGTGTGTGTGACGGCAGCCTTGGGCAGGAGAGTGGCAGGGCTGCTCTTTCACTGGAGAAATCTGAGCCTGGGCACCTGTCCACTCGCTATTAGGCTGAACCCACCCCACACGCATCCACTTATTTATAGATTTCCCCCCAACCAAGAGAGAGGGAATGTACAGAGTGTAGGGGATAGGGAGAGAAAGTCCTCTGTAGCTCAATTGGTAGAGCACGGCGCTTGTAGCGCCAGGGTAGTGGGTTCGATCCCCGGGACCGCCCATATGTAAAAATGTATGCACACATGACTGTAAGTCGCTTTGGATAAAAGCGTCTGCTAAATGGCATATTATATTATTATTATTATAGAAAGGAGAAGGGGGGGGGGTGTAAGAGAGGGAGAGCTTGTGTGAGAGAGTGAGAGAGATTGAATCCACTGTGTCCATCTCCTCTGACCACTTCTTTGCTCTGAATGTGCATAACTTGCTTCAGAAACACTATTTATACACGCTATATTCTACAGAATGAAGATTTTCAGAGCATGATTATCATGTTTCGAGTCACACCTTTACATCCCAACTCTACATTCCCAAAGATAGAATGTGCCCCCTAACGATCTCTCCCCCCAGTTGGCTTGTACATGAGGTGTTAGTCACCCTCACATGCTTCTCTCTGAGGCGTTATTTATTGTTGAGAGAGATAAAAGACATTGGAAAGTGACACCCATATCAAGCAGCCATCTCCACCCCTTGGAAGAAGCAGCTGCTGAGAGCCATGGCATTTGATGCAGGGGTAATGGGAAGGAGGGAGCAAGGGACCCAGCCGTATATCATGAAAGTGGGAGAGAAAGAGAAAGGGGAATGTGTCCAACAAGACATTCATCAGGGCAGCCTCTTACTTCCTTTCATTGCCCTGTTGGGCTCGAGCACCCATGATATATACAGCTAGCTCAGACTGACTGGAGAAAACAAGCCCATATGACTGCTGCTAGCACCAGATACATCACCACATCATATTATAGTAGGTCCGATTGTCCTAAGGGGCTCTCTAACCCTCATGGCACCCATGACAAAACACACAGACAAACAAATAAACAACCATCCATGCATCCAGCCAGCCAGCCACCCGGATCATGACTTGGGGGTGTCCTGAGGCTCCGGCTGGTTGTCATGGTGACGGTGACAGGCTGCTGGCCCATCTCCAAAGCTATGGCATTCTAGATTGAATTTCCAGCTCCACGGCCGGCCCAGCCTGCTCCCCGCAGCGCCCATGGCCCTGTCCTAACGGATTGTCTCGCGCCTTTGAAGTGCCCGGAGAATCCGATTTGAGACGGCCCTTGTAAATTGTTACACAGGAGCCCGGCCTGGCTGATCTAATCAGCCAATTGTGGGCTGTTGATTGTAATTGGATGAATTCCCTCGCAGGCCGTTAAGGAAGGGGGGAGCGCGGGTTCTGGGAGGGTCACTGAGCCCCGGGGATGAAGACAAATGAGAGAATTACAGGAGCAAGGGATGAAGACGAGGAGCGGGGCGATGAAGAGAGGCTGAGCGCTGTATTAATGGCCCATTAGGAGACAAGAGCCTGAGAGGGGAAAAGGTAAAGCCCTCTCAATGTCTGTCTGTCCTTATCTACCATGACAGAGATGACACCTCATCTAGATGTAAAATCAGATCTAGGATCAGATTACCCTGACCCAGATCCTTCCCTTAACCGTTAGGGTGGATGAAAATATGTCTGACCCAGTATCAGTGACTAGGGGCAGATTCTACTTTCTCAGACAGACAAGAGCTTGGATGCACCTGACGGAGAGAGAGGCCCAGACAGGACTAACGCCACAGCTAGACACACAGCATCTTGGGAATGCAGCGGCTGGATTGGCAGCCTAAGCTAAGTCAACACAGGCAACAGCAATAGATGCTGCTTGGCTTTGCAGAGATTCAGTCGCAGGCTTTGTTGAGCCGTCACACTGGGGTAATACGTTTTGGAAAGCCAACTAAGACACACACACAAACATACACACACTTGTTCCCTGCTCCTTGAAATGAAGTCTATTAAGAAGAACCTGGCATTACTGAAAGAAAGCTTGATGTATTACGACTGAAATAACATACAGGTTTCTCTTCAGATTTTTGATTGAACTGTCCGGAACTAAAAAGGTCTCTCCTCTTAAAGACTGGCAGGTTGCAGGTTGTTTGAACAATGCCTTATCGTATTGGTAAGACTGACAGGTTGTGTGTGGCCTGTGTGGACCTCCTCCTGTTTCAAAAAAAGGGGGAGGGACTGGCAGATTGTTGTTGACCGTGTGTGTGGTTCCTCTCTCTGCAGGCTGATCTGTTGTTGTTGACTGTGTGGTTCCTCTCTCTGCAGGCTGATCTGTTGTTGTTGACTGTGTGGTTCCTCTCTCTGCAGGCTGATCTGTTGTTGTTGACTGTGTGGTTCCTCTCTCTGCAGGCTGATCTGTTGTTGTTGACTGTGTGGTTCCTCTCTCTGCAGGCTGATCTGTTGTTGTTGACTGTGTGGTTCCTCTCTCTGCAGGCTGATCTGTTGTTGTTGACTGTGTGGTTCCTCTCTCTGCAGGCTGATCTGTTGTTGTTGACTGTGTGGTTCCTCTCTCTGCAGGCTGATCTGTTGTTGTTGACTGTGTGGTTCCTCACTCTGCAAGCTGATCTGTTGTTGTTGACTGTGTTGTTGTTCCATTCTCTCTGTGCAGGCTGATCTGAGTGCCAACCTGCAGGACGACAGCAGTTTCTTCTACGGCGTGTCCAGTCAGTACGAGAGCTCTGAGAACATGATCATCACCTCCTCCACCAAAGTCTGCTCCTTCGGAAAGCAGGTGGTCGAGAAAGTAGAGGTGAGCGAAAAACAACGGATTGCTCCAGGTCTATGAATATGAATAGAGATATAGTAAATATACATACAGTATACACTGAGTGTGCAAAACATTAGGAACATCTTCCTAATATTGAGTTGCACCCCCTTTTGCCCTCAGAACAGACTCAATTTGTCGGGCATGGACTCTACAAGGTGTCGAAAGCGTTCCACAGGGATGCTGGCCCATGCTGACTCCAATGCTTCCCACAGTTGTGTCAAGTGCGCCTGGCACCTACTACCATACCCCGTTCAAAGGCACTTAAATCTTTTGTCTTGCCCATTCACCACCCAAAGGAGGCGACTCCAGGATGCTGACCTTCTAGGCAGAGTTGCAAAGAAAAAGCCATATCTCAGACTGGCCATTAAAAATAAAAGATTAAGATGGGCAGTCTGAGATATGGCTTTTTCTTTGTAACTCTGCCTAGAAGGTCAGCATCCCTGACTCGCCTCTTCACTGTTGACATTGAGACTGGTGTTTTGTAGGTACTATTTAATGAAGCTGCCAGTTGAGGACCTGTGAGGCGTCTGTTTCTCAAACTAGACACTAATGTATTTGTCCTCTTGCTCAGTTGTGCACCGGGGCCTCCCACTCCTCTTTCTATTCTGGTTAGAGCCAGTTTGTGCTGTTCTGTGACGGGAGTAGTACACAGCGTTGTACGAGATCTTCAGTTTCTTGGCAATTTCTCGCATGGAATAGCCTTCATTTCTCAGAACAAGAATAGACTGACGAGTTTCAGAAGAAAATTATTTGTTTCTAGCCATTTTGAGCCTGTAATCGAACCCACAATTGCTGATGCTCCAGATACTCAACTAGTCTCAAGAAGGCCAGTTTTATTGCTTCTTTAAGCAGCACAACAGTTTTCAGCTGTGCTAACATAAATGATCAATTAGCCTTTTAAAATGATAAACTTGGATTAGCAAACACAACGTGCCATTGGAACACAGGACTGATGGTTGCTGATAATGGGCCTCTGTATGCCTATGTAGATATTCCATTAAAAATCAGCCGTTTCCAGCTACAATAGCCATTTACAACATTAACAATGTCTACACTGTATTTCTGATCAATTTGATGTTATTTTAATGGACAAATAAATTGCTTTTCTTTCGAAAACAAGGACATTTCTAAGTGACCCCAAACTTTTGAACGGTAGTTTAGGTTTACAGTAGATAAATAAACAGAAATGGATATGGATTATGTCGAGATGATGGTCAACCAAGCTTTGTGTACAGTCCAGGATTGGCATAAAAATCTATGTTTTAGACCTGCTATCTCAACATTTGAGATCATGACTGTTCATGACCGTGATGATTACCACTCTGAGAATAAATGAATAACCCAACCAGTGGTTGGGATGGATTCAACTCACTACTCAACCATCTGTGGTCTAGAACAGACGGCCACAAGACACCACTTACACTCCTCCTCACCCTGACTCATTGGTCACGTCCCAAATGGCACCCTATTCCCTATGTAGTGCACTACTTTTGATCAGAGCCTTATGGGCCATGAACTATAATATAATGACATTCAACAGGGACATCAATTTGATTATGGTAGCCATTACCTACAGTATATGTTTAGTGCTATAGCTATCTTGCCATATATCAGGTAAATTATAAATGTATTACCTTGACTTTCATCTATGAAATAATATAATGTATTTTCAGTGTGACCATCTCTTGATATATTACACATATATCATATTTTGGATATATTGTGTCTCCCCAGACAGAATATGCGCGGTTTGAGAATGGGCGGTATGTGTTCAGAATCCACCGTTCCCCACTGTGTGAATACATGATCAACTTCATCCACAAGCTCAAACACCTGCCGGAGAAGTACATGATGAACAGTGTACTGGAGAACTTCACCATCCTACAGGTAAACAAGCACATGAACGCACACACACACACACGCACATTCTAAATATTTTATTTTAATCCACAAATCATAATTCATACAATAAGGATTCAAACATTTCTGGAGAGGGATAGCTGGACACCTAGGGAAACAGATAGCCAGTGGTGGAAAAAGTACCCAATTGTCATACTTGAGTAAAAGTAAAGATACCTTCATAGAAAATGACTCAAGTAAAAGTGAAAGTACCCCAGTAAAGTACTACTTGAGTAAAAGTCTAAAAGTATTTGGTTTTAAATATATACTGAACAAAAATATTAACGCAACATGCAACAATCTCTAAGATTTTACTGAGTTACAGTTAATATAAGGAAATTAGTCAATTGAAATAAATTAATTAGGCCCTAATCTATGGATTTCACATGACTGGGAATACAGATATGCATCTGTTGGTCACAGATAACTTTTTAAAAAGGTAGAGGCGTGGATCAGAAAACCAGTCAATATCTGGTGTGACCACAATTTGCCTCATGCATCCCAAACGAGCTCAATGGGTGAGTATGCAGGTCGTGGAAGAACTGGGACATTTTCAGCTTCCAGGAATTGTGTACAGATCCTTGCGACATGGGGCCATGCATTATCATGCTGAAACATGAGGTGATGGCGGCGGATGAATGGCACGACAATGGGCCTCATGATCTCGTCACGGTACAGTGGGAGGAAAAAGTATTTAGTCAGCCACCAATTGTGCAAGTTCTCCCACTTAAAAAGATGTGAGAGGCCTGTAATTTTCATCATAGGTACGCGTCAACTATGACAGACAAAATGAGAAAAGAAAATCCAGAAAATCACATTGTAGGATTTTTTATGAATTTATTTGCAAATTATGGTGGAAAATAAGTATTTGGTCAATAACAAAAGTTTCTCAATACTTTGTTATATACCCTTTGTTGGCAATGACACAGGTCAAACGTTTTCTGTAAGTCTTCACAAGGTTTTCACACACTGTTGCTGGTATTTTGGCCCATTCCTCCATGCAGATCTCCTCTAGAGCAGTGATGTTTTGGGGCTGTCGCTGGGCAACACAGACTTTCAACTCCCTCCAAAGATTTTCTATGGGGTTGAGATCTGGTGACTGGCTAGGCCACTCCGGGACCTTGAAATGCTTCTTACGAAGCCACTCCTTCGTTGCCCGGGCGGTGTGTTTGGGATCATTGTCATGCTGAAAGACCCAGCCACGTTTAATCTTCAATGCCCTTGCTGATGGAAGGTTTTCACTCAAAATCTCACGATACATGGCCCCATTCATTCTTTCCTTTACACGGATCAGTCGTCCTGGTCCCTTTGCAGAAAAACAGCCCCAAAGCATGACGTTTCCACCCCCATGCTTCACAGTAGGTATGGTGTTCTTTGGATGCAACTCAGCATTCTTTGTCCTCCAAACATGACGAGTTTAGTTTTTACCAAAAAGTTCTATTTTGGTTTCATCTGACCATATGACATTCTCCCAATCCTCTTCTGGATCATCCAAATGCACTCTAGCAAACTTCAGACGGGCCTGGACATGTACTGGCTTAAGCAGGGGGACACGTCTGGCACTGCAGGATTTGAGTCCCTGGCGGCGTAGTGTGTTACTGATGGTATGCTTTGTTACTTTGGTCCCAGCTCTCTGCAGGTCATTTACTAGGTCCCCCTGTGTGGTTCTGGGATTTTTGCTCACCGTTCTTGTGATCATTTTGACCCCACGGGGTGAGATCTTGCGTGGAGCCCCAGATCGAGGGAGATTATCAATGGTCTTTTATGTCTTCCATTTCCTAATAATTGCTCCCACAGTTGATTTCTTCAAACCAAGCTGCTTACCTATTGCAGATTCAGTCTTCCCAGCCTGGTGCAGGTCTACAATTTTGTTTCTGGTGTCCTTTGACAGCTCTTTGGTCTTGGCCATAGTGGAGTTTGGAGTGTGACTGTTTGAGGTTGTGGACAGGTGTCTTTTATACTGATAACAAGTTCAAACAGGTGCCATTAATACAGGTAACGAGTGGAGGACAGAGGAGCCTCTTAAAGAAGAAGTTACAGGTCTGTGACAGCCAGACATCTTGCTTGTTTGTAGGTGACCAAATACTTATTTTCCACCATAATTTGCAAATAAATTCATAAAAAATCCTACAATGTGATTTTCTGGAGAAAAAAATTCTCAATTTGTCTGTCATAGTTGACGTGTACCTATGATGAAAATTACAGGCCTCTCTCATCTTTTTAAATGGGAGAACTTGCACAATTGGTGGCTGACTAAATACTTTTTTTCCCCACTGTATCTCTGTGTATTCAAATTGCCATCGATAAAATGCAATTAAGTGCGTTGTCCGTAGCTTTTACCTGCCCATACCATAACCACACTGCCACCATGGGGCACTCTGTTCACAACGTTGACATCAGCACACCACTCGCCCACACGACGCCATACACGTGGTCTGCGGTTGTGAGGCCTGTTGGACGTATTGCTAAATTCTCTAAAACGAAGTTGGAGGCGGCTTATGGTAGAGAATTCTCTGGCAACAGCTCTGGTGGACATTCCTCCAGTCAGCATGCTAATTGGACACTCCCTCAATGCTTGAGACATCTGTGGCATTATGTTGTGTGACAAAACTGCACATTTTAGAGTGGCCTTTTATTGTCCCCAGCACAAGGTGCACCTGTGTAATGATCATGCTGTTTAATCTTGATATGCCACACCTGTCAGATGGATGGATTATATTGGCAAAGGAGAAATGCTCACTAACAGGGATGTAAACAAATATGAGAGAAATAAGCTTTTTGTGCGTATGGAACATTTCTGGAATATTTTATTTCAGCTAATGAAACATAGGACCAACACTTTACATGTTGTGTTTATATTTTTGTTCAGTATACTTAAGTACCAAAATGTAATGTAATTTCTAATGTACTTAAGTATCAAAAGTAAAAGTATGAATCATTTCAAATTCCTTATATTAAGCAAACCAGAGAGCATGATTCTCTTCATTTAAAAATGTACGGATAGCCAGGGGCACACTTCAACCTTCAGACATAATTTACAAACAAAGCATTTGTTTAGTGAGTCTGCCAGATCAGAGGCAGTAGGGATGACCATTTTCCTGTCCTGCTAAGCATTCCAAATGTAACGAGTACTTTTGGGTGTCAGGGAAAATGTATGGAGTAAAAAGTACATTCTTTTCTTTAGAAATGTAATGGAGTAAAGGTAAAAGTAGTCAAAAAATATAAATAGTAAAGTACATATACCCCCAAAAACTACTTAGTAGTACTTTAAAATATTTTTACTTAAGCACTTTACACCACTGCAGATAGCACCTTATTTTCCATACAGCAAGCCTGGGATGGCTATGTGCTAAAGTGTGAGTTGGTGTCCTCTAGGCAGGGTCATGAGGGCGTGAGTATTTGTACACAGGGGTCAAAGGGTATAGTTGCGTACACACACACACACACACACAATATTACTCAGGGATGCAAACTGGTGAGGGTCCAAAAAGGTGACACTTTTGTTTTTTGTACTGAAACATCCCTGCTAGGGGGGCTAAAAAATAAATATGATCTTTACAATGCTAATTTCTAGTGACTTAGGCTAGATCCCTTCTTGAAATGCAGGTTTTAACTAATTAAACAACAAAGAATATGATCTACATGATCAGTCTCTCTGTGTAAAATAAAAAGTGGTTAATGTGAACCTAACACACAGCAAAAAAATGTAAGGAAAGCAATCCGATGTTATTTGTTGCCTAGACTTTACTGCAAATGACACTCAAGTCCAGAGAAAAAACTATACATTAATATTGCAGTTAGCCATGACAACTTTTATAATATAACGCTTGTGTCCACACACACATTGCACTTGGGAAAAAAACATCTTAAAATAGAAATAGAATTAAACAAACAGGCATTCAATTTTTTCTCTATTATAGTGGCTACGATTATAGTGGCCACTATAGTAGACATTGATCAAGTGCACTAGGCTATACAGTGAGGGAAAAAAGTATTTGATCCCCTGCTGATTTTGTACGTTTGCCCACTGACAAAGAAATTATCAGTCTATACTTTTAATGGTAGGTTTATTTGAACAGTGAGAGACAGAATAACAACAAAAAAATCCAGTAAGACGCATGTAAAACATTTTATAAATTGATTTGCATTTTAATGAGGGAAATAATTATTTGACCCCCTCTCAATCAGAAAGATTTCTGGCTCCCAGGTGTCTTTTATACAGGTAACGAGCTGAGATTAGGAGCACACTCTTAAAGGGAGTGCTCCTAATCTCAGCTTGTTACCTGTATAAAAGACACCTGTCCACAGAAGCAATCAATCAATCCGATTCCAAACTCTCCACCATGGCCAAGACCAAAGAGCTCTCCAAGGATGTCAGGGACAAGATTGTAGACCTACACAAGGCTGGAATGGGCTACAAGACCATCGCCAAGCAGCTTGGTGAGAAAGTGACAACAGTTGGTGCGATTATTCACAAATGGAAGAAACACAAAAGAACTGTCAATCTCCCTCGGCCTGGGGCTCCATGCAAGATCTCACCTCGTGGAGTTGCAATGATCATGAGAACGGTGAGGAATCAGCCCAGAACTACACGGGAAGATCTTGTCAATGATCTCAAGGCAGCTGGGACCATAGTCACCAAGAAAACAATTGGTAACACACTACGCCGTGAAGGACTGAAATCCTGCAGCGCCCACATGTTCCCCCTGCTCAAGAAAGCACATATACAGGCCCGTCTGAAGTTTGCCAATGAACATCTGAATGATTCAGAGGAGAACTGGGTGAAAGTGTTGTGGTCAGATGAGACCAAAATCGAGCTCTTTGGCATCAACTCAACTCGCCGTGTTTGGAGGAGGAGGAATGCTGCCTATGACCCCAAGAACACCATCCCCACCGTCAAACATGGAGGTGGAAACATTATGCTTTGGGGGTGTTTTTCTGCTGAGGGGACAGGACAACTTCACCGCATCAAAGGGACGATGGACGGGGCCATGTACCGTCAAATCTTGGGTGAGAACCTCCTTCCCTCAGCCAGGGCATTGAAAATGGGTCGTGGATGAGTATTCCAGCATGACAATGACCCAAAACACATGGCCAAGGCAACAAAGGAGTGGCTCAAGAAGAAGCACATTAAGGTCCTGGAGTGGCCTAGCCAGTCTCCAGACCTTAATCCCATAGAAAATCTGTGGAGGGAGCTTAAGGTTCGAGTTGCCAGCTTAAGGTTCGACTTGGAGCAGATCTGCAAAGAGAAGTGGGACAAAATCCCTCCTGAGATGTGTGCAAACCTGGTGGCCAACTACAAGAAACGTCTGACCTCTGTGATTGCCAACAAGGGTTTTGCCACCAAGTACTAAGTCATGTTTTGCAGAGGGGTCAAATACTTATTTCCCTCATTAAAATGCAAATCAATTTATAACATTTTTGACATGCGTTTTTCTGGATGTTTTTGTTGTTATTCTGTCTCTCACTGTTCAAATAAACCTACCATTAAAATTATAGACTGAACATGTCTTTGTCAGTGGGCAAACGTACAAAATCAGCAGGGGATCAAATACTTTTTTCCCTCACTGTATGTGTGCAAAAATAATGTTCACTGAGTAAAAACTAAAATAATCCCAGCCAGTAGTGACCCCAAACTTTTCTCATCGGAGCTACACGAATCACGTAGGTTACCTATTTTGGATTCAAAACGGCGAATTTTGCCGAAAGGTGACTAGTTTGCATCCCTGATTACTATCTATTAAGACTCAACCATTTAAAATGTTGTACCAGACAACTATTGTTGCTTAAAGCACTTTCAATACAGAAGCAGAAGAGATTGAGAGGGCATGGAATGGGGAAACAGGGGCAATGAGAGTATCACCATAGTAACAAAGTGGAAATCAACATAAGGTTTCAAAGACGCTGTCCATTCCATTGGCAACTGCATTCTTACTAGAGTCTAGACACAATGACCATATTGAACCCACACAGCAGACCACATGGCAACATAGGTTAACTGTGAGCTGCACACACACACACATTGTATCAATGCTATGGATCAAGATGCAACAAGTTCTTCATTCAGGGATAGGGGAATAAAATGGTGAAAGATTCATTCTCAAAAGGAGCTCATGCATTTTTGACAGTTCGATTTTGTGTAGTTCGCTTTACCTCATGTTCTTAGTGAGAGTTGAGACCCACCTGTATCAAAATAATGAAAACTCGATTGGTATTTCTTTAAAAAGTATATTTTTCAAATCTGTGTTGTACTAGTGGTATAATAGGACTATGTGCTGTGGTGGAAAAAGTATCAAATTTTCATACTAAAAGTAAAGAAAATGACTTAAATGAAAGTCACCCAGTAAAATCCTACTGGAGTAAAAGTCAAAAAGTATTTGGTTTTAAATATACTTAAGTATCAAAAGTAAATGTAATTGCTAAAATATAGTTAAGTATCAAAAGTAAAAGTAAAAGTATAAAATAATCTCCCAAGTGGCGCAGTGGTCTAAGGCACTGCATCGCAATTGTGCTAGCTGTGCCACTAGCACAATTGGAATGGCCGGCAGGGATGTAGCTCAGTTGGTAGAGCATGGCGTTTGGGTTTGATTCCCACAGGGGGGCCAGTATATGTATGCACTCACTAACTGTAAGTCGCTCTGGATAAAAGCGTCTGCTAAATGACTAAAATGTAATGTCATTAGGCAAACCACACGGCACGATTTTCTTGTTTTTTAAATTGACAGATAGCCAGGGGCACACTCCAATACACTCAGACATGATTTACAAACAAAGCATTTGTTTTCTCTTTAAGTGTGTGAATTAGACAATTTTCTTGTTCTGCTAAGCATTCCAAATGTAATGAATACTTTTGGGTGTCAGGGAAAATGTATGGAATAGAAAGTACATTATTTTCTTTAGGACTGTAGTGGAGTAAAAGTAAAAGTTGTCCAAAATATAAATAGTCAAGTAAAGTACAGATACCCCAAAAAACTACTTAAGTAGTACTTTAAAGTATTTTTACTTAAATACTTTACACCACTGACTATGTGTGTGTCTCTCTGCAGGTGGTGACCAACAGGGACACACTGGAGACCCTGCTGTGTATAGCCTACGTCTTTGAGGTGTCTACTAGTGAGCATGGAGCCCAGCACCATATTTACAGGCTTGTCAAAGACTGAGACAGCCCTGTGGACAGAGAACCACTATAGCACAACAACAATAACAACAACAAACCCAACCATGGACAATCTCCTCTGTAAGCACCATACGATTGTCTGTCAGGACCCAAAGAAGCACTGGGAGGGTTGCTTTCCCAGTGAAACTACTGTGGAAGAGGTGGATTGAGAGCATTGGGAGCTGGAGTGAACTTTACAACTGTGTGATGTGAAAGAGAGGAGCAGAAGGTGGAACCTTCATTGTGGTATATCTATATGTACCAGAGGAGCCAAACGTCAAGACAATGCATGAGAAAGTAGTTTTTCATCTCATTTTACTAGTGCTTGCTTGTTTGATTTAGTTTATTTTACACACCTGCATGAGCAGGATTGTGTTTGGTTGTCCATGGGCGACACCTAATGACTTCTAATGTATATTACACACAGAAGAAAGAAAAGAGGGCAAGAGGGAGAAAGGAGAGAGAACTATAAACCCCAAGACTGCACATCCATGTCATTGTTTTTGGTGCCAATATTTGTGTTATTTTAGTAAAAATGTCATGTACAGTACCCATCTCCTCTGAAAAGTAATCCCTATGGAAAATAACTGGCAAAATTACAATTAAACTAAATATTGTATTCACCTGGTTTAAATGATACAATTCTGATTAAACGTTTCAATAGGTGCCTTAATTTGATAAGACAACAGTCAATCAGACCGAGATTGTTTTACTTGTCGATGCAACCGGATGCTTTTGTCGCTGATGCAGCGCGTGATGAAAACAACACAACTAGCTAGCTAGCTAATAAACTTGCATTATCTAAAAATGTCTAAAATACAGTTGTTGAGTGTTTTTCTCAACGAGAGATTAACGGCTGCTGCTGAGGAGATATAATGGTTAGTCGAAAAAAATGATAGCAGAGTATCAGGAGGAAGTTGTCTGTCTTCAGAGGCTGCTCGACATTGTTCTTCAACCAGAGATAAAGCTAATGTTACACATAGCAGGTTTGTTACTCATTACGTTTGTCTAACTTACTCAACCTTAAATGTATCGACATTCGGGCAATGTTAGTTTAAGTTAGTTGTTTTTGAGACAAGGTGTATATGGTTACAGTTAGGGTAAGTGTACCTATTAAGCCCACGTACCCATTAAGCCCACTTCCATATTTGGATTCAAATACAAAATAAACATTTTCTGCTATTTAATGTTTCAACCAGTTCATGTGGTTGTTGTATCCATACCCGTTTTTATTCTAAGCCAATCAGATGTTTTATTATTAAGTTATTGACAGTTGTGTAAATTCCTACTAGTGGACAATTTTCAAAGCTGCAAAGAAACGTTGGTGTGGAGGCCACACTCAGATAAACATATTTTCCCCATAAAATACTTAATATATTATAATTTAAGCTTTTATGTTTGGAAATTCATAAATTATTATTTAAGAGGTGGGCTTATTTAGAACACCCATAGGCTTAAAGGGTACATTCGGTACCCATTAAGGCCAGTCTGGACTTTTCACATAATTGTATCAAATATTTTAAAGATAAAACAAATTGTGTAAGTAAAGTCATAAAACTTCACATGAAAGATTCATCTTTCATTTTATCTCCACTTTTCTTATGAAAATTAGGGCTGTGTACAATAGAAATGTCTAAACATTTTGGTGGGTTTAATAGGTACACTTCAGTGGAGGCTGCTGAGGGGAGGACGGCTCATTATATTGTCCGGAATGGAGCGAATGGAATGGCATGGAATGGCAATTGGGAACCATGTGTTTGATGTATTTGTTACCATTCCACTTACGTCTCTTCAGCCATTACCACGAGCCCGTCCTTCCCAATTAAGGTGCCACCAACCTTCTGTGGTACACTTACCCTAACTTCCAGTATATTTTGCTATAAGGGTCGTTCCATTTCAGCAAGCCATGACACACACCATCTCTGATTTTTCTGAAATGGTTTCTGTAGTTAGAAACCCATAGCTAAATATTAATTCCTGCAACATTCTTTTGTTGAAAGACAATTTTAAGTATTTTAAGAGAAATTAAACTAATTGATTGCACCCAAATTGGACATTTCAATTTATGTGATTCATATAATATTCAATAAATATAGTACCCAAAGTCCGATATGGACCAAACCTCTTCCTAACAATGGCCAAGTTGTGAGGAATCCAAATAAATGGTCAAAAGCCACCCACGGACCCCCCAGACCACACACCAAGCCCACCCCAACAGCCATCATACAGTATCAGTTCTCTATGTTTGACAAGTAATATGAAACTGCGTTTTGGAGAATTGTTTATTCAACCTATGTCTTTTGGTGATGTTTTTTCCCCAGTGTTCAGATCAATTAGTCATTCAAGTTGTTAGGTTTATGTCCCATCATACAACCTGATAATACCAGGGTCTGACCACTAGGCTGGATTGGGCTGTTCCTGGTGTTCCAATGTTAATTCAAAATGTAACCTTCAAATGATAATGATTTATACACTACATGAACAGAAGTATGCGGACACCTACTCGTCGAACATCTCATTCCAAAATCATGGGCATTAATATGGAGTTGGTCCCCCTTTTGCTGGTACAACAGCCTCCACTCTTCTGGGAAGGCTTTCCACTAGATGTTGGAACACTGTTGCCTGGAATTGCTTCCGTTCAGCCACAAGAGCATTAGTGAGGTCGGGCACTGATGTTGGGCAAGGTGTCGGGCAAGGTGTTAGATGGGGTTGAGGTCACGGCTCTGTGCAGGCCAGTCAAGTTCTTCCACACCAATCTCGACAAACCATTTCTGTATGGACCTCGCTTTGTGCACGGGGGCATTGTCATGCTGAAACAGGAAAGCGCCTTCCTCAAACTGTCGCCACAAAGTTGGAAGCACAGAATTGTCTAGAATGTCATTGTATGCTGTAGCGTTAAGATTTCCCTTCACTGGAACTAAGGGGCCTAGCCCGAACCATGAAAAACAGCCCCATATCATTATTCCTACTCCACTAAACTTTACAGTTGGCACTATACATTTGGGCAGGTAGCATTCTCCAGGCATCTGCCAAACCCAGATTTGTCCGTCAGACTGCTAGATGCTGAAGCGTGATTAATCACTCCAGAGAACGTGTTTCCACTGTTCCAGAGTCCAATGGCGGCGAGCTTTACACCAGTCCATCCGACGCTTGGCATTGCGCATGGTGATGTTAGGCTTGTGTGCGGCTGCTCGGCAATGGAAACCCATTTCATGAAGCTCCTGACGAACAGTTATTGTGCTGACGTTGCTTCCAGAGGCAGTTTGGAACTTGGTCGTGAGTGTTGCAACCGAAGACAGACGATTTTTACGCACTACGTGCTTCAGCACTCGGCGGTCCCGTTCTGTGAGCTTGTGTGGCCTACCACTTCACGGCTGAGTCGTTGTTGCTTCTAGATGTTTCCAATTCACAAAAACAGTATATACAGTTGACGGGCAGCTTTAGCAGGGCAGAACTTTGATGAACTGACTTGTTGGAAAGCTGTCATCCTATGACGGTGCCAAGTTGAAAGTCACTGAGCTCTTCAGTAAGGCCATTCTACTGTAAATGTTTGTCTATGGAGATTGCATGGCTGTGTGCTCGATACATCTGTCAGCAACGAGTGTGGCTGAAATAGCCAATACCACTAATTTGAAGGGGTGTCCATATACTTTTGTGTATATATAGTGTACATGTAGAGTAAAGAGTTAAATATTTAAATGTTTTTGGACAAATAAATTGCTCAAAGAAAAAAAACAGCATTGAAGACTACTCATTCTTCATTTTATTCTTTCACGTTCTTTTCTTCAGTGCATCTTCTATTACAGTGATCCCAAATGATATAGTTGGAGTGGTTGGTGCCTTAATGCTACATAACATGTGTCCTCTCTGTTTGGCCAAGAAAATGACATGGCTGGATAACTTGGATCAATTTCACCTTTACGTCCATGTTTTCATCATCCACAGCATTCACCCAAAGGAGAAAGTCCTACTCCAGTCTTCTTTTCAGGTCATTTATCACCTGATTTACTTAAAAGGCACACCTCAATAGGTGGTCCAAGTATCCTCATGACATTGCACAAGTGGAGGGGGAAGGGGGTGCTTTCCTCTTTGGTTCTCTATTGCTCTTTTATTGTTTCTCAAGCAAGGGGGGAGGCCGATGACATCACCAATCCCCATCAGACCAACTCCTTGTGAAAGAGAGCAACCTGGCTCTATGTATTTGCTGACCTGTGACCCACTGACACCACCCCTGGTTAGAGGGTAGTTAAGGCATCAGCATGCTTCAGTTCGGCTCGCGCCTAGCCGAAGTCGGCGAACTGAACGAGTGTGCTGGGATACTCCCTTAAAAGACCTTAGCTTGAAAAACTAGAAAAGAATGGCAATAGTACTGTTTGTCCATTTTGAGATGCCGAAGCCAGTATACACTTCCTCAAAATAGTCCTAATTAATCTAAGATAACTCAAGAAATCGGTCATTTTTGATGTTTTTGCAGAGGAGATATTACATCTAATTTTACATCTAACTAAGATGTTTGGTGCAGTATTTTTTGCATGAAAACCCTATTTTGCTCAGAATTTACTTTTTTAGCCTTTAGTGTGTGTACTTTACTTTTCTGTACTTATACTTAGGATATCGCTTTTCAACAGGAAAAGTTCAAAAATCGCAGATTCACACTTTTCACCTAATACCAGGAACAGCACCATCTAGTGGTCAGAACCTGGTAATATCAGATTGTATGATGGGACATAAACTTAACTTAAATTCCTAATTTCTCTGAACAGGGGAAAAACATCACCAAATTCAATGAGAATACATTACATAGCTTGAATAAGCAATCCTCCAAGCCACAGCTTTATACTACTTGTCAAACACAGAGTTTTGTATACTGGCCATTGGGGTGGGGTTTGGGGGGTCTGTGGGTGGCTTTTTACCATTTATTTGGTTTCCCATTTATTTGGATTCCTTCATCATTGTTAGGAAGAGGTTTGGTCCAAATCCTATCCAATTTGGGTGCAATCAATTAGCTTAATTTCTTAAAGTTCAATATTTATCTTATCTGTTTCTAACTATAGAAAATATTTCAGAACAATCTGAGATTGTGGGTGTCGTAATCCTGTTTCTTGTGCTTTTTGAGGTGGAACAACTCAGAAGAAGTCAATTATTGCAGGCGCACCAGATGGGGGGTAATTCTACATGTCAGCATTGAGTTCTGTTTCGTTCTTCCTTCAGACCTCCAGCAGCTCACTCACACTGTCTCTGAAGCGGAGATTCCCCCTGAGCAGCGGCACTGTGAGCAGGAGTAGAGCCTCAGTCTTGGGCAGGAGGACCCAGAGCCCACACAGATCAAAGAGGAACAGGAGGAACTCAGGGCCAGTCAGGAAGAAGAGCAGCTTCAAGGTCTTGAGACTCATACTAAAGACTCCATATTAACTCCTGCTTATGATTAAGGACCCGACTCAACTCTCACATCCCTATCACACCCAAAAGGAAGGAAGGAAATGGAGAGAGACACTCTACCCAGTACTACAACTAAACAGATCAAAACAGAACCTGATGGAGAGGACTACGGAGAATCAGAACCAACAGTGTTCTGCAGCTCAGAGTGGAAAACAGTGACAGTGGTATGGAGACTGACGGACCTGCGTCAGGTTTTAACTCAGTCAAATCAAAGAGAACAAAGATGGTAAAAGGACAAAACTCCTGTATCAATACTAAGGGTAAGAAATCCACAGAGTTGTCCCTCCTGAAATCACCCAGGCAAGGTCATGCTACTCCCAGTTGTTGTGCCACACACCTTACATATTTTCATCACATGGGTTCATTAATCAAACATGTTCAAATTCATACTAAGGATAAAGAACAGCTTTGTGGAGTGTGTGGAAAACGTTTTCAGTCCACAGAAAGTATGGAAGATCACCTCAACTCACATTGCACCTAGGTTTTGTTGTCATGTTTGTAGTAAATGGTTCACCTTTAACAGTAAGATGATAGTGCACATGAGAAGCCACACAGGGGAGAAACCTTTTCCCTGCCCTGATTGTGGCAAAGGATTCAGCAACAGCAGCTATCTGAAAAAACACATTAGGATTCACACAGGGGAGAAGCCATTTTGCTGCCCTGATTGTGGCAAAGGATTCAGCATTCCCAGTAATCTGTCAGTGGACATGCCAATTCACACAGGAGAGAAAACACAAAAGGTGCTGGCACAAATCTGAAAGTGCACATAAGGCATGTGTCAAACTAATTCCACGGAGGGCTGAGTGTCTGCATGTTTTCGCTCTTCCCTTGTACTTGATTGATGAATTTAGGTCACTGATTAGTAAAGAACTCCCCTCACCTGGTTGTCTAGGTCTTAATTAAAAGAGGGGGGGGGGGGGGGGGGGGGGAACAGCAGACACTAGGCCCTCCATGGAATGAGTTTGACACCCCTGACATAAGGACTCACAGGGGAGAGACCCGACTGATGTCATTAAAGTAGAAAATGCTTTTCCTAATCAGTTACATTGAATAGCAATGAAAGGCACACCGAGGAAGCACAGTATGTCATACAATGCTTTCTGTGTCTTTGATTGTTATTCAATGTAGTCATTGAACATGTAATAGTTGCAATGCAGTATTTTTTTAAATGCTAGAACTCCAACAAAGGCACATGACTAACAGTCATAAGAGGGAGAAACATGACAGCGTGCTCAAAAGTTGAGAAGAGAGGTGCTCAAAGTTGACCCACTTTGCATACCCCAACCTACCATGAGACTTCCATGTATTAATCACTGAAAAATCGAAATGGTTGAGTTTGATAGTATTTGAAAGCTTTTTTAAAGCTTGAACGTCAATTATAAAAAACGTGCAAACGTTTTCATGTTCATAAAGGTTCTAGCTTAGACCCTATTTTACATCATCTGAAGTGTTTGTGTTGTGCCTTCCATCGGTTAAGACACAGCATACTCTTGAAGAGGGCACGACAACGCCTCTTCCCCCCCAGTAGGCTGAAAGATTTGGCATGGGCCCTCAGATCTAAAAAAGTAATACAGCTGCACCATTGAGAGCATCTTGACTGGCTGCATTACCGCTTTGTATGGCACCTGCTCAACATCCGACCGCAAGGCGCTACAGAGGGTAGTGTGTACGGCCCAGTACATCACTGGGGCCGAACTCCCTGGCATCCAGGACCTCTGTACCAGGTGATGACAGAGGAAGGCCTAAAAATTGTTAAAGACTCCAGCAACCCAAGTCATAGACTGTTCTCTCTGTTACCGCACGGCAAGCAGTACCGGAACAGCTTCTACCCCAAGCTGTCATCAAGGCAAAGGGTGACTATTTGAAGAATCTCAAATATAAAATATATTTTGATTTGTTTAACACTTTTTTGGTTACTACATGATTCCATATGTGTTATTTCATAGTTTTGATGTCTTCACTATTATTCTACAATGTAGAAAATAGTAAAAATAAAGAAAAACCCTGGAATGAGTAGGTGTGTCCAAACTTTTGACTGGTACTGTACTTACACTGACACTCCAACACACACACACACACACACACACACACACACACACTCACACATAACACATACAGACAGGCACACTGTCGCCACACACATACACTTCCACACTCATATATGCTGCTGCTCCTGTTTATTATCTATCCTGTTGCCTAGTCACTTTACCCCTACCTATATGTACATGTGCAGGGGTACCTCGTACCCCTGCACATCAACTCGGTACTGGTATCCCATGTATACATTTTTACATTTGAAAAAAAATATGAATGCACTCTAACTGTATGTCGCTCTGGATAAGAGCATCTGCTAAATTACTAAAATGTAAATGTGTATATAGCCAACCTATCCTTCCTCAAATGTATATTTATTCCTTGTGTTACTATTTTGTAATTTTTTTATTGTATTCTGCATTGTTGGGAAGGTCCCGTAAGTAAGCATTTCACTGTTAGTCTACACTTGTTGTTTACAAAGCATGTGACAATACAAATATCATTTGATTTGAATACAGGGTGGATGTCATGTTTTGGCTAAGAAATGTACTAAAATTTGAATAAAGTTGACATTTCAACTTTCAAATGGTATCACAAAGATGATTGGTGATCCACATATCAAATAATGTTGACTTGAGTGGGAATATCCATTGTTCTAAATTAAACCGTCGCTCCTCCATAGGAACCCTATTGAAATCATAGAAATATAGATAATAGAATAGACATTCAAGTTGACATTCGACGGTGGATGGACCGGCAGTCATCTTACTGGTATTAATTGGAAGTAAAAATGTCAATTCAATTTAAATTAAATGATGTACCAGCTAAATTGCAGTGGTCTGAAGGGATATATCCATTCTATGAATTCTATTTCTCTGATTGAAATGACACCCACACTGTATTCAAGATGATGCTGTATCTTAACCGATGACGGGGCCAAAACATATTTCAGATGATGTAAAATAGGGTCTAAGCTACAACATGTGAAAGAGAAAAATCGGGAGTTTAAGTGTTTTTAGATCATTGACGTTAAAACGTATTTCTTTATTTCAAGAGATCATAGAATACTTTGACAACCCTGTTTGTTAGCTTTCAAATGAAATCAAACTCAACCGTTTATCTTTTTTAGCGATGAAGACATAGACGTCTCACGGTTGGGTGGGGTATGCAAAATATGTCAACTTTGAGCACCTCTATCTCCTGAATGTTTTGGCAATCAGGTCCAAAAAGTCACTTTCTGACCACTTCCACCATGGGCAAGCATGTATGGAAGGTTTCGTTCAAATCAAAAAGGGTGCAGTCAGAAAGTGATTGAAATCATATGGAACGACCCTCAGGATGCTACTCTTGGGTGAATAAGATATGACTGAATTACTGCTTGAACATAAGAACTCCCCATCGCTGTCTAACAGAGTAGTTAATGGATTTTTTCTGAGCAACATGAGTGCCTGCTCATTAGTTATAGAAAGACAGAAAAACCTATTTCCTCCTTTTGCACATAAAACATGCTTTTGTTTTGAGAGTTAAATGTCTTGTCAATATGTTGAAATAGGCTACATTATATCTGTTTTGATGTTGTTACTTTGTGTTTATGTGCCCTCTGGTTTCTATAACAGCTGAGAGAATCCTAAACACACCAATTGTTTTGTCATCATCTATGGGCTTGATGTCAATATCCACTTTGTGGGAACGTTAATTTTTATTGAATTTTTGCATGTTTTGACCAACATTAAGACAATTGATATGATAAGCCCAAGTGAACCATTCAGATAAATGAACCTTCAAAATGTGTTTTATTTTTCATCCAGAGATTGTACGTTTTATCTACAAAGTATTACAGAATAAATATTGATGTCTTTACCTGCACTCTTCTCTTTCTTCTTATAGTTCTGGATGATTATATGAAAAATCGAAGACATGAAAACGTTTGAGTTATCTAATCACCAAATCATACAATGTGTTATGTTTCTAAAGCACTATAAAGGCCAATCAAGTTAAATTTAACTGAGGTTCTTAGTTGTTAGGAGTATGATTGGACTATTTTGATCATATTCCTGAGGGGCCTGAATATATTATTAATAATATACTATTATTGTTTACTATAATATTATTGTTTGTTTCTCGGAAACAAGGATGCATTTTGCCAGTAGGGTATTTCAACAGGCTCTCATCTGATAAACCAAACTGACCCAGTCGCACTCCACTCCAGCAGGTGACGATAAGGCAAAAAGTATTTATCCGTGCAGACCAAGAGGGCACATTTTTTACTTGTTGATGCAACGTATTCTTTTGTCGTTGATACCGCATGTGATGAACAAAACTTCTATCCTAAGCCTGTGTTTACCACAGACTTTATTTTTGGCGTTTATTCAAAAACTCCATTCATTGTCCAACGAACCCTGGCGGAGTTGGTGCCTACAAAAAGACACCATTACTATTTCTCTTTATTAGCGTCATGAAAGCAGCATTAGTGTCCCAGCAGCAATATTAAGGCTTCCGGATTTCAGATTTAGCCTTCAAAATAAAAGTCTGTGTAAAACGCTAGGTGTATATCCGAAATCAATCAAATAATGTTTTTAAAACATTAACTACATGTAAAAGTGGGGTTGGTAATACTCAGTAGGGTCTGTAGCATATATATACATACATACACAAGGGTTTTTCTTTATTTTTACTATTTTCTACATTGTAGAATAATAGTGAAGACATCAAAACTATGAAATAACACATATGGAATCATGTGGTAACCAAATAAGTGTTAAACAAATCAAAATATATTTTATATTTGAGATTCTTCAAATAGCCACCCTTTGCATTCTCTCTGCCTGGGGCGGCAGGTAGCTTAGTGGTTAAAAGTGTTGTGCCAGTAACCAAAAGGTTGCTGGTTCTACTCCCTGAGCCGACTAGGTGAAAAATCTGTTGATGTGCCCTTAAGCAAACCCTAATTGCTCTGGATAAGAGTGTCTGCTAAATGATGTAAATGTCTCAACCAGCTTCACCTAGAAGGCTTTTCCAACAGTCTTGAAGGAGTTCCCACATATGCTGACCACTTGTTGGCTGATTTTCTTTCACTGCGGTCCAACTCATCCCAAACCATCTCAATTTGGTTGAGGTTTGGTGATTGTGGAGGCCAGGTCATCTGATGCAGCACTCCATCACTCTCCTTCTTGGTAAAATAGCCCTTACACAGCCTGGAGGTGTGTTGGGTCATTGTCCTGATATGATAGTCCCACTAAGCCCAAACCAGATGGGATGGCGTATCGCTGCAGAAAGCTGTGGTACCCATGCTGGTTAAGTGTGCCATGAATTCTAAATAAATCACTGACAATGTCACCAGCAAAGCACTCCCACACAATCACACCACCTCCTCCATGCTTTACTGTGGGAAATACACATGCAGAGATCATCCGTTCACCCACACCGCGTCTCACAAAGACACAGCGGTTG